GCCGGCCGGGCAAGCCGGGACCGGAGCTCTGGATCCCGTCCATGGGTGTGACAGCCCGGCCAGCCTCAGCCTGCGGGGGATCGATGGCTCAGGGGCTGATTTGGGGTCCCCTCTCCCTGCCCCGGCCCCAGGGGACAGCTGTAGTGACCATCCTAYCCAGCACCCAGCCGTGCCTCAGTTTCCCGGGGAGCCCGCAGTGGGTCTGCGTGTGTGGGAGCTTGGTAGAGACGGGTTTTACCAAATCTTTGGGTATTTATTTGCCAGCCTGGGCGGCTCGGCCCCGCAGGGAATTAATCCCTGGCCGCAGAGGGGATTACCGAGGGCCCAGGGCTGCTTTAGCTCCAGAAAGCGGATTAAGGGAAGGACAGGGAGCGTGGGGATGGGCACTGAGAGAGAGCCCCAGGGCACCGCCGGCCTCTGGGGGGGACAAGGGGACAGTTCTGGGGACGGGAACCCGGCTGGGTGTGGGCAGGGACAGGGCAGCTCTGGGGCTGGGAGTCAGCACCATGGGCACAGTGTCCCAAAGGGCCCTACAGAGGGGCCGCGGCTGAACTGGTGACACTGGGAGCTGTCATTTTATACTGGTGACACTGGGAACTGTGATTTTATATGGTGACAACGGGAGCTGTGATTTTGTCCTGGTGACACTGGGAGCTGTGATTTTGTCCTGGTGACACCGGGAGCAGTGTCCTGCCCTGGTGACACCGGGATCTGTGCCCGGTACTGGTGGCTACTGGGAGCTGTAGTCCGCGATCACGGGAGGCACTGGGAGCTGTAGGGCAGAGTGCACTGGGGAGCGCTGGGAGCCGTGACCCGGTGTACTGGTGTGTGCGGGGCACCGGGAGCGCGGTACTGGGCGATACTGGGCCATACTGGGCGATACTGGGCGCTGGGGAGGTTGTTGGGAGGCCACAGAGAGGAACTTGGAGCTGGGAGGGCACTGGGAGCTGCAGGACGAGCTCGGGATGGGGGCACTGGGAGCTTTTGGGGAGCACTGGGAGCTGCGGGGGCGAGGGCACTGGGAGCTGGGGTGCAACTGGGCGGCACTGGGGGGGAGCAGCGGCAACTGGGAGGAGCACTGGGAGCTGGGGGTCACCACTGGGCACTGCTGGGAGCTGCGATGGTAACTGGGGGCGCTGGGGGCAGCGCTGGGAGCTGCACGGAGAGCGCTGGGGACGGCACCGGGAAGCGCTGGGAGATGTAGTCCCATACTGGGAGGTGTGGTCCGGGCTCCCAGCGCATACTGGGAGCTGTGTCCGGGTTCCCAGCGCATACTGGGAGCTGTGTCCGGGTTCCCAGCGCATACTGGGAGCTGTGACCCGGGCTCCCAGCGCATACTGGGAGGTGTGGTCCGGGCTCCCAGCGCATACTGGGAGCTGTGACCCGGGCTCCCAGCGCATACTGGGAGGTGTGGTCCGGGCTCCCAGCGCATACTGGGAGTTGTGGTTCCCAGCCCCGGGCGCTGTAGTTCTGCACCGGGGTCCCGTCCCCCTCCGTGCTCGGGGGCTCCTGTGGGTGCCAGCCCCAAAGTGACCCCTGTGCAGTGTCCGGCACCCCCAGCCCCCTGTCCCCGAGGGGGGTGTCCCTCTCTTGGCAGGGTGGCCGTGGGGCAGCCCCGCGATCCCGCTCCGGCAGCTCCCGGGAGAGGAACGGGGCGGTTTCATCCCGGAGCAGCCCCGAGGGAATGCGAGGACAGGAGTGGAACTGGGAATCGTTCTGGGCAATGGCAGAGGGGTGGGGGAAGAAGCGGGGAGCGAGTCGGGGTCCCCGGGGTGGGGGATGCACGCTGACCCCGTGTCTCTGGGCAGGCTCGGCGGCGGCAGCATGGGGGGGATGCTGGCGCTGCCCCCGGGGAACGGACCCCAGCAGGTGGGCTGCACGGATGTCATGGTGGGCTCCACACGGCAGGTACGGGGACAGGGCTGAGGATGGGACAGGGCTGAGGGTGGGACAGGGACAAGGCTGAGGATGGGACAGGGACAGGGCTGAGGATGGCACCGGGACCAGGCTGAGGATGGCACTGGGACAGAGCTGAGGATGGGACAAGGACAGGGCTGAGGATGGCACCGGGACCAGGCTGAGGATGGCACTGGGACAGAGCTGAGGATGGGACAGGGACAGGGCTGAGGATGGCACAGGGCTGAGGATGGCACCGGGACAGGGCTGAGGATGGCACAGGGCTGAGGATGGCACAGAGACAGGTTTCCATGCACGGCAGGGTGGCTGCCACCGCCCTCTGTGCTGTCCCCACCGTGTCCCCCTCCCCTGTCACCCTCAGGGGCTCTTCCTCCGCCTCTTCTACCCGTGCCTGCCCCGTGCCGGGGCCGCGGAGCCGCTCTGGATCCCGCGCTCCGAGTACTGCGGGGGYCTGGCCGATGTCACCCTCGGCCGCCGCTGGTGCTCGGCCCTGCTGGGGATCGCCATCGGTGAGAGGGGACATCCTCACCCCCCGGATTGGGGCACCCCGGTGGCTCCGAGCCCACCCCCCGATTGGGGCACCCCGGTGGGTCCGAGCCCACCCCGTGCCCCGGTGGGTGCTGCAGGCAGGGCTGGGCRCTGCCCGTGTCCCCCCCGTTCCCCGGGGGTTTCTCCTCCCCGCAGGTTCCTGCAGGGTCCCGGTGATCTGGAATGCKCCTTTCAAGCCCCGCAGCAGCGGGTACCCCCTGATCATCTTCTCCCACGGCCTGGGAGCGTTTCGGTAACGGGAGCCCCCCCAGGGCTGGGGCAGGGATTTGGGGGCTCTCCRTGGCCCCACTCGGAGCTGCCCCGACCCCTTTCTGCTCCATCTCCCTTGCAGGACCTTGTACTCCTCTCTCTGCTCGGAGCTGGCGTCCTGGGGCTTYGTGGTGGCAGCGCTGGAGCACAGGTGAGTGCTGTCCCCACCAAAGTCACCTCGGGGCTGCTGGGACACCGTGCCCGGGGGGATTTRCTGGTGTCCCCTTCCCTCCTGTCACCGCAGGGACGGTTCTGCTGCCACCACCTATTTCTGCACGGCGGAGGCTGGCACAGAGGAGTGGATCCCCTTCCAGCGGGTGCCCCGGGGGCAGAAGGAGTTTTATTTCCGAAATAAGCAGGTACCAGGGCGGGGGGTCAGGGTGGGGAGTCCCTCCTGCGCACAGAGCTGGCTCTGCATCCCTGGGGATGCTCTCCCCGATCCCATTCTGCCGCGATGCTGCGGCTGAGCTTTCTCCTTGGAGACGAGAAAAATCTGTTCAGCCTGGTGTCCATCTGTCCGGCTCCAGCTGACCCTGGACAGCGTCCCACACGCCCTGGGGAGAGCAGGACTCGSTGCCCAGCCCAGCTCCGCACCGGCTGCTGGGTTTGTTCCCACCGGGATTTTTGTCTCTCTGGGATTATCCCAGACAGCTGCTTGCTGGGGAGCAGGAAGGTTTCCTGCCGAGCCAAGTTCTCCCCCTCTGTTTGTTTCTGCCTCATTTAAAAGGACAACAGCAAGCGGAGATTAGTCGTGGAAAAGCTCTCTAGGAACGGAGGTGCTTTTGGCAGCCTCGAATCACCTCCCAGCCTGTTATTTTGGTGTGTGCTCWGCCTCACAGTGCACTGCACAGAAAAGGGAAATGGCTTTTCTGAACCYACGAGCAGAAATGGGGAGGAAGGAAGAGAAATAAATGATAAATAGAAAGAAATAGCTGCTGGGTCAATCTCCGTTCCGGCGCTTTCTGTGTTACCGGGAGCAGGAGAGAGGTTTTCGTTGGAGATTTTTGTCACTTGTCACCTTAAATGTGCACAGACAGCAGCGCTGGTGACTCAGGGCAGCAGAGGACGTGGCCTCAAAGTGRCTCCAAGTCAGGGCAGCCTCGTCCTGAATCATTTGGGATTTTAGGATGCTCCTGGGTGGGGCTGGGTTTTAGGGTTTGCTCCTGGTCCCYGTGGTGGTTTGGAGCAGCTGCTGAAAATCCCGGGCTCTCCCTCCTCTTCCTCCCCCCCAGAGCAGAGGCTTTTGCTCATCTCCCGCCGCCTGCTGCCAGATTAACTGAATTAAAAACAACCAACAAAAAGGAACCATTCCAAGAAATGCCCTGTGACCCCGTGGGAGCCGCAGCGCTGCTGYCCCGTGCCAGCTTTGGCATTTCCTACAGCTCAGGGAGAGAGAAACCCTCATTGCAGAGAAACCATGGAGGAGGGAGCCTAGGTGGGCACTGGGGGGAAGATCTGACCCCACATTTGGGGYTGGAAGAGCTGGGTGTGCCAGGGAAGGGCTGACTCTGCTCCAGGTTCACCAGAGAGCGCAGGAATGCGTGCGGGCGCTCCGGCTGTTCCGGGACATCGCCGGGGGCAGAGCTGTCCCAAACATCCTTCAGCAGGACTGGGATCTCTCTGTKCTGAAGGTACCTGGGGCGGGTCTGGGAGCCCCTTGGTGCCAGGGTCTGAGATTTTTCCTCCTGGGATAAGGAGGGGCCGTGCAGAGCCCCAAATCTTCCATCTCTCGGCTTCTTGTGCCCTCTCCTCCCCTGTGGGCACCGGGTCCCATCACCCCTGCAGTGGGACTGGCATTTCCCCCCTTGCAGTGGCACTTTGCTGACATTCCTTTGGCTTTTTCTCCCCTAATTRGTGACCCCCAGCAGCGAGATTTGGGCTCAGACTCCTCAGGCTCTCTCTTTTTTAGGACAGCCTTGATCTGAGCAAAGTGGCCGTCATGGGCCATTCCTTCGGGGGGGTGACAGCGGTGCTGGCCTTGGTGAAGGAGCCCCATTTCAGGTGAGGAACAGCAGGGATGAGGATGAGGAGCTGTGAAGGCTCCAGGACATGGGGCTGGTCCCGTGGGAAGGTGCCTGTGTTCCCTCCCCAGGTGTGCCGTGGCTCTGGACGCCTGGATGTTCCCTCTGGAGAACCTGCTGTACCCCGAGGTGCCCAAACCCGTGCTCTTCATCAACACCGAGAAGTTCCAGACCCCGCAGAGCGTTGCCAAAATGCAGAGGCTGAGCTCCAGGAACAGCCAGACGAGGATTGTGACCGTGCTGTGAGCCCAGGCTGGGGCACCCCCATAAAGGGGAACATCTCTGGGTTCTGATTCCCCTCCCACTGATGCACTGATCCCTTTCCTCGGCCAGGGGAACCGTGCATGAGGACCAGACCGACTTTGCCTTTCTCCCCGGGAAGATCTTCAGCCGCCTYTTTGGTGTGAGGGGCACCCTGGAGCCCCACAAGGCTCTGGCCATCACCAGCCGGGYGGCTCTGGCCTTCCTGCAGCGGCACCTGGGTAGGACCAGGACGGGGAGCGGGGTGGGGGCTTGGGGGCACCGGAGCTTTGGGGCTCCCTGGGGATCAGGGGCGGTGATTCCCAAAGCCCGGGGGTCCTGTGGCTGCTCCTGGAGTGGGACTGGCCAGGCTGTGGTGACCCTGTGACCGTCTGTGACCGTCTGTGACCGTCTGTGACCCTCTGTGACCATCTGTGACTGTCTGTGATTGTCTGTGACTGTCCGTGACCCTCTGTGAGCCCCTGTGACCCTCTGTGACCCTCTGTGACTGTCCGTGACCCTCTGTGACCCTGTGTGACCCTCTGTGACCCTCTGTGACCCTCTGTGACCCTCTGTGACCGTCTGTGACCATCTGTGACCCTCTGTGACTCTCTGTGACCATTTGTGACCCTCTGTGACCCTGTGACCGTCTGTGACCCTCTGTGACCGTCTGTGACCCTCTGTGACCGTCTGTGACTGTCTGTGACCATCCGTGACTCTCTGTGACCCTTTGTGACCATCTGTGACCCTCTGTGACCCTCTGTGACCATCTGTGACTGTCTGTGACTCTGTGACCGTCTGTGACCCTCTGTGACTGTCTGTGACCGTCTGTGCCTGTCTGTGACCCTCTGTGCCCCTCTGTGCCCCGTGCAGAGCTGCAGGAGGTTTTTGCTCAGTGGGACGAGCTCCTGGAAGGCGTCGGGGACTCGGTGGTTGGGGACACGCCGCTCTGCCGCTCTCGCCTGTAGCTGCTCCGAGGTCACTGCTGAGAGCTGGAAAAGCGACTCCTGGAAGGACAGGAGGAGCCTGAGGAGGGCAGGACCTGGGGACAGCGCTCGTGGGACACTCGAGGTGCTCAGGGAATGTGCCCTCCCTGCTCATGTGGCTGCACTGAGGGAATAAAACCCCCAGGAATAAACACTCAGTCGCTGAATAACAAAACCACCGAGGGGTTTGGGGTGGAAGGGCCCTCAAAGACCATCCTCACCTTCACTGAGGGCTGGGGGTGGTTCAGCCACGGCTCAAGGAGATGCAGCATCAGGGCTCCAAGCACAAGGGGAAGGAAAATCCCATAATTGTCCTGGAAAGCCATGCAGATGGCTGACCCCGTGCCTAAAATCTTCAGGGGGAGAGGAGCAGGGTGGTGTTCAGCAGCTGAGTGGAAGGAGGAGACTCTGAGCCCCCAAACAGCACAGGGGTGTGGGATGGGGACTGGGACAGACCTCGGGGATGGAAGGAAAAGGGCCCAGCCTGGGAATAAAGCTTGGGAAGCACCCACAGCACATCCCTGGGTCACACCGGAGATGTCAGAGCAATCTTTGAGGGGATTGTGATCCTCAGCCATCCCGAGGAGGGGCTGGAGCCCTGGAGCCGCAGGGATTTGTCCCSGCAGAGCCCCCGGCGGGGTCCTGGGGGAGGCAGAGGGGTCCTGGACACGGTGCCATCTGCCCTGGCATTGTCCCCGCCGCGTCCTGGGGACACCCGGGGTGCTGGCGGCAGCTCTGTCCCCTGCTGTCCCACAGGAGCGCCGGCAAAGCCCGTGCCCGGGCAGGAAGGGAACGGAGCAGCAGCATCGCCCTCCCCGGTGCTGTTGTCGGGGTCACTGAGTCCTCCCCTGGTAGCCACCGAGAGCCAAGGACGAGCCCTGGGACTGAGGATGCTCCGGGATGGGCTGGGGGGAAAGGAACAGCACCTGCGGCAGTGGAGAGAGCGTCCCTGGGCTGAGGGGACATTCCTGGGCTGTGGGGACATCCCTCGGTGTGGGGACATCCCTTGGTGTGGGGACATCCCTCGGTGTGGGGACATCCCTGGGCTATGGGGACATCCCTCGGTGTGGGGACATCCCTCGGTGTGGGACATCCCTCGATGTGGGGACATCCCTCGGTGTGGGGACATCCCTGGGCTATGGGGACATCCTTCAACTGAGGGGACATCCTGGGTGAGGGGACATTCCTGGGCTGAGGTGACATCCCTCGGGTGTGGGGACATCTCTCCACTGTGGGGACACCATCCTCCAGTGCCAGCTCCGCTCCCCRGTGTCGCACAAAGGACAGATGTGAACAGGACCACCAGACCCTGCTGCTTTTAAGCCTCCCGGATATTAATTTTTAAACGTTTTGCGCCTAAAGCAGCGTTTGTCGCCGCGGGCTCGGGCTGGGGTGTGGCAGCCCGTGGGGACAGCGCTGTGCCGCGGTGCTGGCGGTGGCTGGGGGACATTCAAGGTCGCTGGATGTGACAATCGCGCGGCTGAGCCCGGGGGGGACGCGCAGGTCCCGCTTTAACAGTGAGAGGCAGTGACTGGTGCAGAAATGAAATCCCATTTCGCTGGCGGAACGGGCGCGGGCAGCCCCGGGGAGCTCCGACMGGCGAGGGAGGAATCCTGCGGGGATCTTATGTAAAGGATTTGGGAGGGGGTGGCGGTCGCCGGCTCCATTCTTTAACCCTTTGGATCCCGGAGGGGCTGGGGGAGCAGAGGAGCAGGCGGAATCCTCCTCCCCGTCCTCCCTCTGCTCCTCTCTCCACAGCCGGCAACATTCCCACAGCGCTTTTGTGGGAATAAAATAAAATCCTGCCAGAAAAAGGTTCAAAAAAAAAAAAAAGAAAAACCCGGGGCAGTTTGTGCAGGGCAGGCACCTTCCTCCTTGTGCCCCATCTGTGTGTTTTGGGGGATGTGATGGTTCAGGAGCCCTCCCAGAGCATCCTCCCGATGCTCCAAAATCCATCCCGGAGCCTTTTCCCGGCTCAGGCTCGCTCCATCAGGGCTTTGTCCCGGCTCTCCGGGAGCAGCGGCCCCGAAGAACGCGGCTCCAATCCCGGCGGGACGAACCGGGGAAGGATTTTT